TTGCAGTGAACATTCAAGTAAAGCTGTTTGTTTAAAGAGTACAGCATGTGACACCCATGAGACACTGCAGCTTCTACCATGAGACATTTTTATAATTTTTATTTTCTATTGTCTTTTGGGGAGGGAAGTTACAAGCTTGGAAGGCAGATATGGAAGAATTGGAAAATAATTGGGATTGGGGTGTATAATGTGAAATTTACAAACAATCAATTAAAAATGTGGAAAAAATTCAAACGAGGAATACCCTTATTCTTTTTAAAATATTAGTGTGAAAATATTTTACACAAGTAATGATATCATCCTGATATCCCTCCTTATATTCACACAAGTTGTGTTTGCAACTTGGTGTTGTGTAATTACATGTGTATTAGTTAGTTCAATAATTAATGAAAAATAATAACCGAAAAAAATTCATACATCTTATCATAATATGCTACTCATGATTGCCTCAGAGCAAGAAAGACAGAAAATGTAAGAGAAGTTTAAGAAAAGAATGAGATTGTGTTGTAAATGATGGTAAAAGTTGTAAATGCAGTCTTTTGTTTTTGTTTTGTTTTACTTGTTAATTTTACTTTAATTTTTAATTCGTTTTTATTAAGTTTTTCATTTATTTTCCATACAAAAAACCAGTTTCTACTCCGTCCTGTTCTCCCATACCCTAAATTCACCTCCCGACTACCCCACATCTGTGCCTCCTCCATTAAAAGGGACAGGTCCCCCATGGGAGTCAGCATAGCATGGCCTATCAAATTGAGAGAGGACCAAGATCCTTCCCCTCCATCTAAACAGGACAAGGCATCCCAAAATATGGAATAGGATCCAAGGAGCCAAGTCCTTGTCTCACTACTAGGGACCCCACACACAGACCAAGCTACACCCACATGCAGAGGACCCATATTGGTCCAATACAGGCTTCCTAGCTGTTGGTATAGAGTCATTAGCTGCCACTAACTCAGGTCTGCTGTCTCTGTGGGTTCCCCTGCCACGATTATGATCCCCATGTCTCTATGAAAATGATTAATGAGACAAAGAAAGTTCTATGTTTTATTAATTCAGAAATATACTATCTGGCAATAATCCTTCCCCAGTTAGTATTTTTTTTCCAAAGATCAAAGTTTACGGTTAAGGTTGTATGTTGCTCTCAAAATTGCACTTTGCTATTCAGCTGTACCATTTTGATTTAGGCAAACAAGAGTGAGGATGTAGAGAGAATGGCCAGTGGGCTGCCAGGAGTTCGGCAATTAGGATGTCCACACGAGATTTGTTTTTTGAATATGTTCGGTTTATCCACAACAAACATTTCTTGTAATTTCATGTTAATAAGAGTTTAACAGATATCTCACCAAGCAGGGAAGAGTTGCCACTCAGAAAATGCTGCTTCAGGGTTCCATTGGGGAATCTCCTCCCATGAGGATGTTTAGAAAACTATCTATGGGCTGGACCCATGACAGGTGAAGTCCTGCAGCTGTGTCAGGCCAGCACAGCAGGGGTTCCTGAAAGTCCCTGAGAGCACAAGGGGAACGTGTGAGCTTAGCAACAGTGCTGGAAGTTCGATGGTGACTAAAGCTGGGGTCACACAGAATCTAGTTTCAAAGTCTTCAACATAAAGGATAGAGGAGCTACTTCTTAGGAAGATCACGTCATGTGATCTACAATCTGATCATATTTGTAATGCTTGCATATTAAAACAGTCAGGTCCATACACTTCTTAAAGAATTATACAGAGAGTAATGTGGACAGAACATACTCTGAGCCCAGGTTGCTATACAGTCAAGTGTGTGTTTGTTTGTTTGTTTTCAGCCAAGTGTCTTTAAAGCGCCAAAAATCAGCTGCATAGGAAAGGATACCTGTATCTTTGTCTGAAGTTGGAAGATGTAAGAGAAAGAGTAAAAGCAAAAAGTAAAATCAAAGCAAGTCATAAAGCCTATTACAGTAGCAAAGTACAGACAGTACTTTGGGAAAATATAATAATGTGTATCACAAAATCTCAAACTCTGACAGTTATAATGAAGTTTGTATATTATAAATGATAGAAAGTGTTTTGACTCAATATTGGGCATTGCATGTTAGCAGATTTGGAAAGTAAACATGTTTTGAGATAGTGTGTCTAGAGTTGACTGAAAAAATTTTGTTGAGTCATGTTAACAGATACTAACCTTTAGATTACTACCCTAGTGATGTAATACCTAAGATTTAATACCTGCATCACAACTCAACATTTATTGCTTTATGTTTCTGATTAGAGCTCACAGTTCTGAGAAGTCAAGTGGAACTCATGTATTACTATAGGAGTATGAGAAGTTGACCTGAGGATATTTTAAATCCATTGCTTCTATTTTATGTTCTTATGTATATACAGATTCCCTCTCTGGTAATTCACTCACCTAGGCTGAAAATTTAACATAGTTAGGATTATTTTCAGACATTCATTCTTCTTTGTCCCTTCCTCTTCTCTCTATCTTTCTCTTTATTTCTCTCTCTGATTCTTTCTCATTCTCTCTCTCTCTCTCTCTCTCTCTCTCTCTCTCTCTCTCTCTCTCTTTCTCTCTCTCTCTCGGCCGACATTCGCAAATCACAGACTAGAACATCAGTGTTTCAGTGGCTTCCTTTCTATTATGTTCAGTATTATGTTCAATGTTCAGCACTGACTAATCAATATTGATGAAGACAGACCCTCTGTCCAGTTAGTGACTTCCAACAAGATCTTGACAGTCTGTGTCATCCAAAAGTTTAGGTTTAAACTAACTGCATGCCAAGGGCTGATTGTGGTCTTGTTCTGGTATTATTAGATGTACCCACCTGCTTACTTGTCTGATGTTTTAGGATTTAGTTTCCAACTTCCTGATCTATGCCAGAACTTGTAGATGTACACTGCTCATTCTTTTCCTGGCCATGCATATCTGAAATAATCACACAGAAACTATATTAATTGCAATACTGAGACCAATAGCTTAAATGTATTTACATATTAAATTAACCCATTTCTATTATTTTATATCCCAAATGATGCTCATTGTTTACGATTAAGGTTCAGGTGTCTGTCTTCTTTTGATGTCTTCATGGTATCTCCCTGACTCTCCTTATTTTCTCTTCTATGTCTGCTTGGAATTTGTGCCTTGCTCTATTCTGCCCTGTCATAGGCCCAAGAAGCTTCTTTATTCATTAATCAATAAAAGCAACACATATAAAAAATGACTTCCCACACCAAGAAGTGGATTCTTTTTATTAATGTAAGATTATGGACATGTAGTTTTGTGGATTCTGTGAGTTTTTATTGTGTCATTTCTATGACTACTCTAAACAAATGGTCAAGGGTGCTTTCCACATTTGAATTCAGAGTCAATCATATACATATCAGCTTCCATTTTTTCATTATCAAAATAAGAAATTTTATTTTAAGAGTTCCTCTTTTTTCTTGAGTATATATAATGTCCTCTTTATATGTCTTGCTATATATCTTTCATTATTTACAACAAATAAAATTGAAACTAAAATTTCCATTCTAGCCCTTTACTTCTATTGGGGCATCTTTTGAGTCTAGCATTTGATCCATTTTGACAGGAGTACCATAAAAATCATAGACATTGGATATGATTTATTTTATGCAATTTACTTACAAAATCAGTTCACCAAAATTTGAGGAATGTTCACAGGAGTTCAATAGATTAGAAGTGACTCTAAAATAAAGAAAATGTCTAAAATGTAGGACTTCTCAGAGCCTTCAATATCGGATGGTCATATTCTCATTACTTGAAATTTGAATTATGAGTACAATAGTCGACCCCTATACTGATGGTTATGAAAAACTTGCTAATTGAATTTAAGAGCCACTTAATGAGAGAGAAATTATGCCAGATACTGGAAATCTAGCTAACTGGGGCTGATGACATCATAGATATCTGAGGAAAACTTACAATGAACTTTACTAAACCAGCAAACACAGATGAGAGCAATGTTCATCCATCATAAAAACAAAAAGCTAAATCACTATTTGCAACAAATGGAACAAATGGAGACCATACAGAAAAATATAACCAATCAAAAAACAGAGCACACATGATTGTTTGATGCCCAGCTCTAACCAACATATCTACAATACAATACAGCACCCACTGTTAAGGCTCAGGGAACATCGTGGAAAAATTGTAGAAAAAATTGTATGAGTTAGAGAAACAGGAAGTTCTCTGTGAGATTCACTCTCCCAGATGTCAAGGAAGCTAAATGCATTAAGTCTCATCAACATGGCTGCCTAAACATGATCTGAACAACAGGTAGGACACTATATATATATAACACTAAAGGGAGAAATTGCATATGGCCCCAACCCTAGACAAAGAACTGGAGAAAACTAAGAGTAGGAGGAATAGTCTTCCCTAAGGAACAGTTCCCATTTTGGTTATCAAATCCCAAGTAGTGCGGCCTGAAACAATCTACATAAAAGTAACATTATATGGAATTAGCAGGTTGTATTTATATATTTAGGTAAATATATAAAATCTCTCTTTTTCTTTGTGTGTATGGTGTTGTGTGTGCATGCATGTGCTTGTGTGTGTGTGTGTGTGTGTGACACAGAGAGAGAGAGAGAGAGAGAGAGAGAAAGAGAGAGAGACAGAGACAGAGACAGAGACAGAGAGAGGCCAAGGCAAGGGTACAGAGAAGAAGTTGAAGGAAAGAAAAGAGGGAAAGACATTTTAATTTCAAAAGTCAAAATAAGAATGTAGCAGTGCTACTGCAGTACATTTATATGTCGCAGATGGCCAAATAGGAGGACAGAGATTACCCAATCTCTTTGAAGCCAATATGACTACATCACAAGCCAAATTGCAAGACACGGTACTATAGAAGTTGTACTGTAGAAGTTTTCCTTGCTAAGAGAAAACATTGCTTGGGCCAGATCATTCCATGCTGTACCCTTTGAATTGGAAGTGTTTATCATATGGCATTGTTTGGAGGGATTTTGTAACCTGGCTTTGATTTTATACAAGCTTATGGTAAAATATTCACTTGGAGTACCAGAAGATGTTTTAGACTTTGGTCTTTTAAACATTGCTGGGACTGTTAACTGTGGCAGATTTACAAAGTCTCAATGAATGCACTTCAGACACTATGGCATCAAAGAGTAAACTATTTTCTAGGCAATTACTTGGTAGAGTTCTGAGTTACTGGGAAAAAGATTCACATACAATAGAAAAAAATGGCTGTTTATTTGACAGAATCTAAGACACCTTAGTAGTCAAGCTTTCAACCACTTTGTGGATTAAGAAGATAATTGAGGTAGGAAAACTGTTGCTTTGGCTTTGTTGTTTATTAAAAGATTATTTATTTGTTTGTTTATTTTGGTGTACACAGGATAAATCTTTTACAGGACTATAGCAGGCAGTTGTAGCTGCTGGGAGGTAATGACTAAACAAGTTGAGTTAAGGCCAGACGCAATTTATAGCTTTCCTTCTTATGTATAGGGTTACAATTGAATTTCCTCTTCTATAATGATACTTCAGACACAGATATGGCTATATAAATCCCCCGACTTGTGATGACCATTCAACTGCCAATCATTCTCAGCATATTGAGTAGACATGCTTCATTTATAGTTGTTCATTGTAAATAGGAGCTTCTCTGATTAAGGATGAGAGAGTAACATTTTCTCATATATTGAGGGCAGTAAGCAGTCATTGTTTGCTATAATGAGCAGAGTATAAAGAAGGGTATATATGTTTATTTTCTTTGAATCATGATATATGCTAAGTTAAAAATTTGGGTTTCATTCATTTGTGGTAAGGTTTTTGGAGGCTGCTAGCCTCAAATAATGACAGAGAGAAGTCTTATTAATTATGAAAGCTTGGACTTTAGCTTAGGCTTGTCTCAACTAGCTCCTAACTTAAATTAATCCTTTTATATTAATCTATGTTCTGTCGCATGGTGTTACCTCTCTTTCAAGTTGGCCTTTTGTTTTCTCTCTATCTCTCCTGATGTCTCCCCAGCACCTTATTTATCTCCTCCTACTTCCTTTCTCTACCTGGAAGTACCACCTATACCTCCTGCCTAGATATTGGCCATCCAGCACTTTATTAAATAAATCATAACAGTATACCTTCACCCAATATATAAATACCCCTCTAAATTGCCTACGAGTATCAGCAATATGTGAATGATAGGAAGTACATCATATGTACACTAGTACTTTTCAACAAGCTTTTTATCAAGCTTTGGGGGAATTATAGCACCTTGTATGCTACAAGAAATTAGGGTATATATTTTATATATACACACCAAAAAATAATACTAATGTCAACTGCTTATTATCTGACTCAATTTCTGTATGTACTAATTAATCCTAGCTTCATTTTCTGATTTAAAGAATTGATACAAGCTGCCACACAGGCTAAATAGGTTCTCTTATACACAATTTTAAGAGGACTCGAAACATGTATTGAAGATTATTAGGGAGGGATAGAAAAACATGGATTCAAGAGAAGGTCCGAAGTTGAATAATCCTTCAGCAAGAGCTTTAAAACTGGCAGACAGATGAGTATCAGAAAACAGTTGGGTCTCTTCAGTGAGATGATTTAGTCCCCTCAGGCACAAGGCTGTATCTACTCTTCAATGCTTATGAGAAGGAGTCTCTACACACTTGTTAATATGTGACCTGTGCAGTGTGAAATAGACAGAGGAGAAAGCACACTTAACATATGCTACGGGACATGGCTTGGTCTTTGGGTAGGGCATTGGGAATGGTTATAGTGTGCCCTGTAAGGCATAAATATAATCAGGCTTGTGTGGGAACTCCTTCAGCCAATAGATTTGACTATTTTATTTTAATCTGAAATACAGGTTCTTTTTGGATATGAGCAATGAGGAGAACAGTGGGATTGCTGACCAATTTCGAGTCTTCTTGGTTTAGGTCTTGAAGCGCCTGTGTACTCTTGGAATGTCCATTTAAGGATGACACTCTAATTCAGAATAAAGAAAAATGTAAACTTTATCTGACTGTAACTACGCCTCTCAACAATATTAAAAATTCCTTTACAGTGCAGAACTGTGGTGGTACACGCCTTTAATTCCAGCACCCAGAGGCAGAGGTATGTTAATCTCTGTGCATTCAATTCCAGCCTCATTCTAGAGAATGAGTTCCAGGCCAGGCTCCAAAGATAAACAGAAACAGTGTCTCAAAAACAAAACAGAACAAAAATTCCTTTTTAAGACATAGTTGCCCTTTTCACTTTTTGTATCAGGTATGGATTCTACTACACATGCATATTCCAAGTTATTTGCAACGTTGCCTTCACCATTTTGTAACTTTAAAAGCCAAAGATGAAGCTGAAAATAATTGCCTATTCAAATTAGCCTATCACATTCTTGGTATAAGCAGGAAGCTCAGAATTTTAAAGTTGGGATGCCTACACAGCTAGAGGAACTGGAGAAGATGGGTTCAAGATAAGGTTCAACATTTTATCATCCTTCAGGCAAAAAAAAAAACTTTATTAACACTGGTTGACAGATGTCAGAGTACAGTAGGGTCTTAAGTAAGATGGTTCGGTTTCATGAAGTGAACAGAGATGTCTTCCCCTAAAAGTCTACAAGGGTTATGAGGTTATCTTGGATGACTTACATGGGACATTGTCTCAAAAGAAGAAAGAGGTGGAGGAAAGGAGAAGAAGGAAGCAGAGTAAGAGGAGACTCATTATAAGTTTGAATAGCGTTTGCTAGTCCAAACGTGAGAAAAATTTGCTTGAGGGACAGTTTAGTTTAAATATCTTACTTTCTCAGTTACTGTAGTTACTGTAGTTCCCTACAGTCTTTGATAAACTTGAGAACATGTCTCTGAATACTAATAAAATTTAAAATAACTCTTTGTTTTAAATATTTGTGTAGTTTATTTACCACTCTTAAATGAGAGGTACCTTCTAATATTTTTATATCTTTTATGTATTCTGTTCTCATCCTATAACTCTTTATTATCACAAGACTGATATCAGATATGATCCTTTAAACAGTAGATCCTTTGTGGCTGTTTCTATAGGCGAATATTAGGTATGTTAGTATATCCATACATTAATATGTATCTTTATGTAGGTACTTTAATGCTGTGGTCAACAAAATTTACTGTACTAAAACAAGTCTGTGGTTGTTCTGTTTCAATTAAAAGTTAGAGTCCATATTATCAGGCTTATGGAATCTTGAAAACTAGAGCTCACTGCCCAACTTGAAGGCAGCTTGACAGGTTGAAAAATGTCTCTACAAAGCAGCTCAGTTGTCCTAAAACACTTCCCGACAGCTTGGATCGCCTCTTCCACTTCCAGATTATTCATCTTGTAAGAGAGCATATCGTAGTAGTTCTTACTGCTTATATACATTATAGAGGGTCAAGTGAAACTAGTTGGTCTCAGGGTACTCCTCAAATTTTTTGAGTTGTTTACTTTCTAGAAGCTATATTACAGGATAGGTTGTTTCAGTATCACTCAGAGCAGTTTTCCTCTCTTAAGACATTTTGGATCTCAAGGAACTTCCCTAAAAGATGAAATATTTTATCTCAGAAAAAAATGCCACACGAAAGCATCACAATTATCCCTCATTTAAACCGGATGGCAAGTGAAAGACGGCAAAAAGAGCAGGAAGAAAAAGCAGGAAGATTAGCCTGACAGAGGCCCATACCTGGATATCTGTTTTCTTCTGATAAATAACACATGTCTATTTTCATAAATTCATTTTATTCTGAAAGAGCTTTCATAAGTTTGCATAACCTAAAGCAGGGAGCAGTGTGTCAAAAACAGACTTGCCAAAGCAAAAAATTTATAGCATTTCCTCTCACAAATTTCACAAATATAATTTGTGGCTTGAAAGTAAATGAGCATTCTAATGCAAATTGTACTCTGATATCTTGGTTTGTAAACATTCATTATCTGTCTGCATAACTGCTGTTTGGAGCTTTGTACTGAAAAAATTTGCTGCTTCTTGTAAACTGTCAGCTAGCAAGATAGGATGATGGTTTATTGCACAGGAGTGAAGTCACACCTTTGGGCCCAGAGTGCTTCTGGTCAGAATCCAAGGTCTGTAACATTTATTTGAAGGTGTATACATTCTTATCAATGAATAGTCCAACTGTTCTCTGGGGGATATGAATTCATGAAAGTACAAACATTTTGTTTCTCGTGTTATTAGGGAGTGTTTCTGTGAATGAACTGTTCAACCTGAGGTATTTTCATGACAGTGAGACTCATCTGCTTTTGGCAACAACAATCTACTTCAAAGAGAAAGATGGGAATTGAAGATGCTCCTTATGGAGTTGGCCTTGCCATTTGAGTAAGAAAGTGCTCTTGCCTGGACTGCTGGATATTATGCTGAACACACAGGACCCACAGAGAAATGACTGCTGAATTTGCCTAAATAAGGTAAGACAGTCCTTCCTGGTTCCTGCTTCATGAAAGAGTCTGCCAGACATTCTGCAGGAAATGGAAGAAAGTGACTAACAAGCTCCCAATATAGGTGGAACTGTCTTTGAAATTTCCTGCATTGTAGAAAAGTCTGCTGGATACTATGGGCCTATAAACTGAAGATGGATGTTCCAATGATACAGAAGAACTCTTGGTGACTATCAGGCAGCGAGATGTCTCTGTCAATTCTAGAGTTTTATAAGTTGCTTACAATGTGCTTCCTGTTAACTTAGGTAATATGATATCCTTCTGAAGTGTTTGATAGTGTTGGAAAATACATAGTTATCATTTTAGTTTTCCGTAGTTATGATAAAAGATAAAGTAGATATAAATATTGAAACTGTAATTCTTGCTTGATACCTGTTATATATAATTTTACTATGTTAAAGTTAAAGCCTTCCTTTTTATTTAAACAGAAAAGGGGAAGTGGTCTTTCTGTATATGTGTTGCTTTTTATTGGTTAATGAATAATGACGTTGCTTTCAGACAATGGCTTAACAACATATAGCAGGGCTTGAAGAGATATATAGAGGAAAAAGGCAGAGACAGAGAGAAGCCATGTAACTTCTCCTGGGGACAGATCCATCAGGACCTTGCCAGTAAGCCACAACCACATGGCAATACACAGATTAATAGAATTGTGTTAGCCAAAGATATAAGAGCTAGGTCGCAATACGCTTAAGTTTTTGGCCAAGCAGTGATTTAAATAATATAGTTTCTGAGTGATTATTTTGGGACTCTGGGTGGCCGGTTGTGAAACAAACAAGCAGCCTCCTACAACAAACCTCTTTTTGGGTCCAAATGAGTAAGGCTACGTTAGTGCTTCATAAGAGTGTAAGAGTTTCAGCAGAGGCCAAACAAAACAGGCTAGCAGTTGTGACAGCTACCTAAAATAAGCAATGGGTGGATGGGATTACTTTTCTGCTTTTTAAGACCTCTCTGGGCAAATTCTCACTCCAGATTTCCTGAAAGTTTTCTTGTGGTTGGTGCTATAATATTTCTTCATCAGTTATCAGATAAGTATGTAGAAACTAAAAACTGATACCTGGGTATCAGCGGGATGAAAATGCATACTGTTTTTTTTTTTTTTCCTGAAGGCTCTCTACAGTTAATTGGGATACAAAGAGTTACTATGGCAATCTGGAGGTGGAAGATCCCATTGGCTTGTAGTAAGACTGAATAAACAAAGTTACAAATGCAGTTATCCAACTACTTCACAGGAACTCTCCAAGGCAGAGTTCCAAGATGGTAATATAGAACAGGAACCAAGTGGGAATACACTGCTCAGTGCATTTTCCAAGGCAAATCTTCAATGTGATAACCTGATGATTTCTAAAAATGGGTATAGAACCAGTCTTTTCCTGTTGCAATTTCTATTGTTGTGAAGAGACATCATGGCCATGACAACTCTTAAAAAGAAAAATATTCATTTATTATTCAGTGGTTCAGTCCATCATCATCATGGTGGGACATGGTGGCAAGCAGGCAGACATGCTGAGAAGTAGCTGAAAGTCTACATCTTGCAGTCAGTAGGACCAATTTGCACATATACCCCAAGGATTATATTATATTTCTTTTCTTATACAAGTCAACTTAATAAAGGAAAGTATTATCCTATTATACTTATACATCATGTTATCCTATTTATAAAATCAATACAGTTAACATTCTCTGTGAACAAATCACAGCATGCTGATACAAAATTTCTGAAACATTGTGACAATATATAGTTCTAAATGAAAACAAACATTTAATAAACTAAAATGGCACATGTCTTTCTAAGTAAATAATAATATCGAAATAAATTGAATTCATCATATCAGCAAAGAAAGTCAACAAATGCAATATGGGATTAAACTATTATCATAACCCAACTGACCTAACCAATGCTGATAACAGATTTCATACCATAGTTGTAGGACATATATTATACCATCAGAACATGGCACATACTCCAGAATCTATCAGTCATAAATTATGCACACAAAACAATCCTCAGCAAGTTCTGAGAAAACTATAAATTCAGTCTCTCACTGTGTAAAATCTTTTGCAATTTCAACAGAATTTTCTTTCTTTTCTCTCAATTTCTCTCATTATCTTCTTTGTCAATACTTGGTGGTTTGACAGCCAGGAGAAAGATGATAGATGAATCCAGAACCTTGTGAGGTTGGAAGTGGCCTCCACAGATCCCATACAGGCTGAATAACGTATCAAGCAACACCAGAAGTTTGGAGTTCAGGTCTTCTGAATTCTATCCTCTGTTGCAGCTAGAATTTTCTGGCTTTCCAAAACATTGTCTTTCCTTTGGTAGCAACTCAAGTTATAAATATCTCTCCATATAAAATTCTTTGTCCAACCTCACTTACTTCCTCTAGTATTGTACAGTGTGTGTGTATGAGTTTGACATTAGTCTGCCATATAATCTTCAGAGGAGTACCTTATACAGGCCATCCTTTAATGATCACTATAACTAACTAAAACTGCACATTATAGAGATTTGGTTCCTTCCTTTCTCCTTTAATCGCAACTTCTATTTCCTCGTCTATATTTTCTTACAATGCTGCTCTACTGGTTGGAGAGATACACTGGTGAGCTGACCATAGCACCAACAATGGACAATTTTTGATTGTCTATGTCACATATGTCTTAAAACATTACTGTAGCTTTTAAATAAAATTCTATTTCTATTCTTCTTTTAGTGCCAAATTGTGAAGTGCACTGGACTTGAGTCTCTGACTACTGTAGACCCATTAGAATGAAGACTATTTTGATTGCCACAATTTGTAGCATCTGAGAAACACTTAACGCTAATTGTCAAGGTAACAAAAGTTCTCTAAAGAAAATGCATGAACAATAATCCCCACAAAATAAGTGTGGTAACAGTGTCTCTGTTCCTTGGAACTGCCACATTCTTTGTGTTAGCAAACATTGGTGCCATTTAAATGAATAAGTAGATTTCAGAGTTCAGATTCCATATTTGCATTTATATGTAGGTCAGATGTGAAGCATTCTCTAAATTTCTTCCAGCAAATGACATATTTCATTACTTTTTAATTTAGTTTTACTCAAGTTCTCAGAACATAGATAAAACAAAATTAGATTCTTCACAAGAATAGAACATAAAGGCCACTAACAGATCCTCATGAAATTCTTAAAATCTCCCAAAACTTCATGAAGCCAGCCTACACTTTACATACTTTGTTTTTTCAATTTCTGATCTTCTAGGCACCAATTCAAAAGGTCCACAAAATTTGCATACAGAATTCTAGAGTCTTGCATTCTCACATGCTCATATTTTTTCATGTTTCTTTGAAAAAATCATTAAAAAAACACTTATGTACCCTAAAGCTAGGTTATCACAGTAATGAGCCCAATATCATCATTAATTCCCTGTATTTGTTACTATTCTCAATATAGTAACGAAACAACCCACAAAAAAGTCAACTTAGAAGAGGAAGGGTTTACTTGTACAGGCATTTCCAAAGAATATTCACCTTATAGTTCCACAATATAAAAGGAATAGCTGTTAATGCTCTCACCAACATGAACTTTCTTATGGATTCAATGACATGAAGGACAACAATTGCTCAAAATATCAGCCAACAGAAACCATTCCTCCTATAACTTGCTTTTTTGTTAGGCACTAACCTAGTGATGACAAAGTAACTAATGAGTGGATCTTATTTTTAAATAATAAAAACTTCTCAATAATGCCTTTTCCTGTGTTTGGGTAACTGTATGACCATCATCCCAGGGGAGTGTTTTAGTATTGTCTGTGTAGCATCTTCAGCTGTAGTAAACAGTAATATTGGTGGATGTTTCTCTGTCCTAGGTGGAATGGGTTGTGCACTTCTATCACAAGCTACTATTCAATTTTTCAAACTTTACTAGTCTTAGCATGGCATAACCATCTCTGGATATGTGAGAATTATAATTTTCTACAGGTTATATAGCATGGGGGTCACCATGTTGGGTACAGGAAGGTTCATTCATGAATGTAATGTAGTAGATGTCAAACAGGAAGCTTCAGGGGTTGCTGGTCCATATCAGGAGTGTAAAGTGAACATGTGTCAGTATCCAATGGCTGCATGACTACATTTGTAAAAGTTGACACTCTTAGGAAAGGCAGATTTACTGCTTCCAGGAGTGAATGATATATAGATGCATTCATTTAAAACTTCTTGGTGTCATTTTCTATTTTTTATTTATTAGATTTTTAAAAAATAGCAATCCATGTTCCCACTCCCTCCCCTCCTTCCATTCTCCTCACACACCCTCCCACCTCACTCCCATCCAATCCTCAGGGAGGGTAAGGCACATTGCTTTGTGAAAAGTCCAAGGCTCTCTCTACTATACCTTGGCTGAGCAAGGTAAACATCCAAAGAGAATATGATGCCAAAAAGCCAGTACACACAGTAGAATAAATCCTGGTACCACTGACAGTGGCACCTCAGTCTGCCCCAGCCATGCAACGCTCAACAACATTCAGAAGGACTAGTTTGGTACTATGCTTGTTCCTTCCCAAGCTGACTGGAGTTGGTGAGCTCCCATTACTTCAGGTAAAATGTTCCTGTGGGTGTCCCCATCATGGTCTAGAACTCTTTGCTCATATTTTCATTCTTCCCACTCTTCAACTGGACTTAGGAGATCAGTACAGTGTTCTCATGCAGGTCTCTGCCTCTGTTTTCATCAGTTGATGGAAAAGGTCCTATGATGATATTTTGCATATCTATTTATCTGACTACAGGGAAAGTCAAGATCAGGTCTCCTCTCCTCTATTGCTTAGAGTCTTAGCTGAGGTCATTCTTGTGGATTTCTGGGAATTACTCTAGAGCCAGATTCTGCTAGATCTATAATGACTCTCTCAATCAAGATATCTCTTTCCTTGCTATCATCTTTGTCCTTCCTCCATCTTGACTACCCCATTCCCTCAACTTCTCCTCACCCCTCCACTTCTCCCCTCCTCTTTCCCTTTCACCCTCACAATTTGTCAAGAACTTTAAGTTTTTGAAGAAAAAAATTGAAGAAGATACCAAAAAAAGGAAAGATCTCCTGTGTTTATGGATAGGTAGGCTCAACATAGTAAAAATGGGAATCCTACCAAAAACAATCTATAGATTCAATGCAATCCCCATCAAAATCCCATCACAATTCTTCACAGATCTTGAAAGAACAATAATCAACTTCACATGAAAAAACAAAAAGCTCAGGATAGCCAAATCAATCCTGAACAATAAAGAAATTTCTGGAGTCATCACTATCCCTGACATCAAGCTCTATTACAGAACTACAGTAATGAAAACAGCTTGACATTGGCATAAAAAAGAGAGGTTGGCCAATGGAATTGAATCCGAGGCAGGGATATTAATCCACACACCTATGAACACCAGTTTTTGGACAATGAACTTTCTCAGTATATTTATGAGACACTGAGATTCTGAGAATAAGCTAATAACTAAACATGTTAGCCATATAGAAAAATAAGGAAGTCAACCAATTGTTTTGTGAGAGTCTTGGTAGAGAAAATCACTTAGGGTATTCTATTTACTTGTTTTTGGTGGGATTGTGAGTGGGTACAATTGCTTGCCTATCTTATTCTAAGGGCTTTCTTTCAAACAATCCATTAAGCATGAAGCCAAGCACTTTTGTAGAGGCAAACATCCAGAAACAGGCTCTAGTGGATACTATAATGTAACGGGAGAGTGAGTTTATTTAGAAGTCATTTTACAAGGGATACTACTGAGTAGAACACACAGAATAGATTTCCCATGTGCCTCTCATGTTTAGGCTGTGTGCTGAGCAAGGCAATAGGATTTTAGAGTAGGGATATCTAAGATACAGGGACTATGGGCAAGTTGACCGGCTACCTTACAGGACATCTACAGATGATCTATGCAGGAGGATCTAGTGATAGAGGAAATATATAAACTGGGTTATTTTATTATTGTAAAAATGTAATCATGTGCTAACTATGAAGTTCATCAAGTCAGATGCAGAGATTCTGAGAAGCAGGTTGTCTCCCATCCAGAGCAAGAGAAGAAGCTGCTAGGAGCCTTCTGCTTACTTTTTTCATGCCAGGTTAAGTTCTCTGTGGTTCAGAGTTGTTTTCTGAGTCAAGACTGTAGATGTCTTATGCTCAGTTTTCTTTTATCAGACCATTATTTCATTTTTCAAGTGTATGAGACAAGTATGTAACATTTATTGATCAAACTCCAGCTCTCCCTTCCCTTCCATTTTACCCACTACACTACCCTGCTTTTTGCTCCTAACTTCAGATGCTCATTTTTTAATATCACTTGAATTCACTTACTCACATTGCCTTTCTGAGGGCGATATAAATTTATCTGCTACAGCATGCCTACTCCCCTCAAGTCTGGAACTATGACTCTTTCTCCCCAAAAGCCATCACCTATCAATACCTCCTCTGGTAGGCATGGGGCTTCAAGTGCCCCCAAATCCATTCTTGACAGGTCCTTTCATACTTAGTCCTTTCTGTAACAAAGAAAGTGAAACATGACTGGTTTCACTTTCCCAGGATTTTTGGCTTTCCCAAAATAAGAAAAAAATAAGGTTACTATTTTTCATGAAACTTTTCCAAACTGGTGGTCAAAGTGTTTATGCCTTATTGCAAATACACTATAAAAATTTGGCACAGAATTTAAATTGGTGGATTTTATGCACATGAGAACATCAACATTATTACAAAAAAACTTTGATTTCTACTATGGGAGAAATAATTATCAGCTATGTACAGTTATGTAAGTTAATATGCTTTCCATTCTGTTGAGATGAAAATTCAGAGAGCAGCCAGATGATTCCTCTCACTAAAATGTTTTGTGAAATATTTTAGACTGTTCCAAAATCTAGGTAGCATAGATGATGGAACACACAGTCATCACCTCCAGGCTTACTGAAAACATTTCATCATAAAAGAGGCTTTAAACATATTTATGTAGATAGAAAGCAATTAAATTAGCCTTCCCTCTTTTGTACTTCCACCTATTGATGGTGGTTCAATATCAGGTTTGAGCAATGCAAGTTATATTTTATCTTCTTGGCTGATTCCTTCTTAGTTAAAAGCACAAATAGTTACAGAAAGGGGGACACTATGAACAGAAGGACTTTGATGTTGCAGAATGACTGTGAAGTGGATGTCTGTTCTGCTGTTTCTGCAGATGAGTTGCTACTTCAGATCTGGGAGCTGTGGGAAGGTGTTGGTATGGCCAATGGAATACAGTCACTGGATGAATCTGAAGATAATACTGAATGAATTTGTACAACGTGGCCATGAAGTGACAGTTCTGAGGCCTTCATCTTATGTCTTTCATGATCCCAAAAAAGCATCTGGTCTTAAATATGAGACATTTCCTACAACCACCAATAATGACAAAGTAGAACATTTTTTTACTGAATGGGTCAATAGGTGGATATATGATGTTCCAAAAGATACATGTTGGAGATATTACCCATCATTTAACATACTATTTGGGCAATTTTCTGATTTTATGTTAAACCTTTGTAGAGAAGCAGTTTCAAACAAACAAGTTGTGGCAAAACTACAGGAATCCAAGTTTGATGTTCTTTTGTCAGATGCTATTTTTCCTGTGGTGAGCTGATAGCTGAGTTACTCCAAGTACCCTTTATATATAGTCTTCGCCATGCTGGTGGCTACGGATTAGAAAAGTTTAGTGGGGGACTTTTATTCCCTCCCTCTTATGTGCCTATAGTTATGTCAAAGTTAAGTGGCCAAATGTCGTTTATGGAGAGAATACAAAATATAATATGTCTGTTTTATTTTGACCTTTTGTTTGAGTCATTTCCTGCTAAGGATTGGGATCCATTTTTCACTGAAATTTTAGGTAAGTTGTATTTTTCATTACAAGTGTGAGGGCCTAAATATCATTGTTCTGAAAAGTATTCTTAGGTACAAATATGTCTTTCATGCCAAAATTGTTAAATGATATATAATATTGTGTAACAATCTCACTACAGCATCATTTCCAAATCTTCATTTTAAAGACAACTGAATTTTGCACTCAAATATGTTTGTTCTGTATTGTTGGCAGTCATGGTCTCCTGGTTTAAACAAGTTAAGTCAAAATGAAGCAAAAGAAAATATTCCTATTCTCAAGCTATCTGAGAACTACATTCCAGATAGTATTTGTAAATATTTCTACAAAGAAATACTTGTCAATACACTGCTAATCCAAATGAAAAGTAGGGACAAATGCTAGAAATTCTTCCAGACAACCCTCATAATTCTCTTAGAAAACCAAAAGCCAAGGAATAGCCTGTTTGTTGTAGAAACTAATATGATTCCTGCAAAAGGTATGTCCATAATTTTGCTGGAATATCTTGACTCTAGATATAGAGTGCTCTTTTATATTTGCATGTGCTTTTCTGAAGCTTCAAAGATGAACAAGGGTCATAGCAGTACATAGGAGTTTTATGGCTTCTATAATGAATAGCACTGCTAAATCATCGAGGTGGCAGTAGGATTTCATCTCAGTTCACCTTGAACATACATATGTTTTACAAACCACAGATAAATTACACTTTAATTGCATTCATGCAAAACTTAATGTATTTGTTTCATGAATGTTTACTAAAAGAAGCAACTTTTAGTAAAATTATTCCAATATTTTCATAAAATATTATTTTATTCACATGACAACACTTTCATGATCATTTTGCTCTTCCGCCCACAACTTTCATTTCTCCATTCAGGAAGACCTACTACTATGGTTGACACAATGAAGAAAGCAGAAATGTGGCTCATTCGCTCCTACTGGGATTTAGAGTTTCCTCGCCCAACCTTACCAAACATTGAGTTTGTTGGAGGTCTTCACTGCAAACCTGCCAAACCCTTGCCTGAGGTAAATAAATACTTTTGGTTTAGTTTTGTTTCTTTTCACTTCATTTCAGTTGAAAATGGTTCTACATCATTTTTTTTTAGTTTTATTCCAGTGAATAAAAAAGTGGGGGAAACGAACATCTTGCCAAAAGATGCTCAAGGTTAAAGCAGTCACAAACCTATGCATTTATTTAATTTATAGATTAACATGAGAACCATGGGAAAACATCATAATTAAATGATATAATAAGGGATGCTTATTCACCCAAAATTTGTCAAGTGACTGACACACAGCTGAATAAGTTCTGATTTGTTTTGCTTTTAACTAAATAAATATTGCAGTGTGTGTACACACACACACACACACACACACACACACACACATGAATATATATATATACACATATTTATGTAGTAAAATTTGTAAGTATACCAT